GAAAAAACAATTCTGTGCAGTAAAATTTATTGTTGATATAAGTAATATTGAGAAACCACAAGTGGAATACTGATGTTTTGTTTCAAATATGCCAATAGATATTACCGTTCTGGAGTCACTACATGAAAAATGCATTGGATTTTTGACCTATTCTGCTCAGACTTTAGGGAGAAATGCTTCTGGCAGAAATGCCTTGCTGCCCTCCACGTCCACAATTGTGGTGTTTTGTTTTGTTTTGTTTTCCTATTTGACCTTAGATTAGAATTAGCTGAGATAATAATATGAAATACCTATAGTAACTTTACAGATTATTTCTTGTGCTTATTTTTTGATCTTGTAAAAAATAAGGCAGTGAAGTATTTTTCAGTCTCTTCAGCTGTTGTGCCACATATCCTAATTCGAACGCGTAGACATCAAAGTTAAAAATTGTGGGACACAAAGAAAGAGTCACAAAGTAATCCAACATTGCTTTGCTTCATTACCATATTTAAAACAAGTGCCACAGTAACATTTTTCAGAGTTAACATTTAACTAGATAGTTAAAGGCAAAAGAAAAGCAATTACATATAGGACATGAAGATTACATTTGAAACTAAGATATTTTTATGTTAATTATGTTAATTAATTAAATTCTGTTAAGTTAAATTAATTTAACTGTGATGAAACCTTCACCAAAGTTAGAGCTGTGTAAAGTTATTTCTTAAAAAAATAAATAAAAAAAAAAATCACAACCATTACAATGTAGGTGAGAGTTTATGTAGCAATAACTTACACTGTTCTGAGAAAATATGGTAAAATGTGACAATACAGGTGAAGGCTATTTCGTGTTTTTCACCAGAATACATGCTTTAAGTCACCAGAAGTAGTTACAAGCTATCTAGCCTTGCTTTGCTTTTGTCTTTCAGAAAAAAGTCACTGAACATACTGAATATCACTCAATTTCATACAGAGATTTAAATTTCATCAATTTCTGATAAAATGTTGAGCATATTAGACATTCAAGAAGTGCAAATGCTATTTTTCTCATCAAACTGTTCCTTTTATATGGTTTCTACTCCACTGCACAAATAAGAGAATCAAGTAGTTCTATGACTGTGAGCCAAATCTTCTGCAATCCCTCTGATAGCTCCAGGAGTTAAATTCATCCACAAAATGTTGAGTAAAATTTGGTGGAAGCAAGAGGAAATTCTAAGGGAGCCCAAGACTTTTAAATAAAATCTATGTGTTAGTTGACAGAAGCAATATCATGTTTGGCATGTGCAATATCATCTTCATCAAATGCTGAAGAAAAGCGTCTGGTGGAACCTCAAACCAGTAATTTTTCTAATTTCATATTCTATACAGTCCCAGTGTTTTCTGAGTTCCAACAGTATATAATTGAGATAATGAATATACTTAACACTGTATTTTCATGCTACATAGTCTACTAATGAGAAAAAATTGGAAAAAACAGAAAATTAAACAGAAACAAAAATAGGTTTTGGAATGTCACTTATCATACAAACCTTAGTAGCACAGGAAGACTATAAAAGGGCTAAATAAATATTTAAGAAAGGCAGGAGGAAATTTATATGCAGAGTATTATATGCAGTACTTAAAAAAAAAGTATAGTTTTAATCATACGTAAAGTTTAATTTTACATTCAAGCACTGGGAAAAATCTCTAGAGGTCATTTTTGAGGGGAAAGAGTTTGTTGAGATTTCTGGGAAACAGTAAAATCTGTTAATAGAAATCACAACTGTTGTCATTTAACATTTTACATTGGAGCATAAATGGATTTAAAAGCATTGGTAAGGGCCACACCCCTGTGTATATTCCCTAATCTTTGAAAGCCAATAGAGCTTGAATTACTGATGATATATACGTGATATATACGGCTAATAAAATACGAAATTCAAATTAGTGTGTAAAGAGAAAAGTGGTTCACAGAACCCTATTGGAATTTGTAATGTTCATATGCTCACTGAAAAGCATTGCATCTGCCTTCATATTTTTCATAAACAGACACTACGCTACTGTACCATTGACTTTGGTGTGGTCTGTACTTCCTACAGTTTGTACAACTGCTAGTTGCAACTTAAAACATTCAGCTATAACTATTTGGAGAGACCATGGGTTCTGTAGAACCAGATAAAGTATTGTATCATTTCAAAAGTATCTGAAGAGTAAGCACATGTAAATCTGTTTTTCAGTGATTTATCATGTGATAGTTGCTGACAAAAAGCAAATATTACAAGTATTATGGAATTTAATTACTATAGGCTGTTACCATACCACAGTCTGCATGAAGACTCTCCAGACTACTGTTATAAGGACCAGTCTATGCTTACAAATCAGTTGCAGCAATATAAAATATACAGTTAAATAACTTTTCTTTCTCCCAGTAAAATGTACATTGAAATAAAAATTATTGCCTTCACAGAATCAAACCAACAATGAACCATTTGTTTTTTTTGAAAAGCTCGGAACAACCAACAGCAATGACTGAAGTCATATCCAGTCAGTAAGTGGAACTGCAGGTCAAGGTTCTTCTCTATTACCATGATGTGATTACACATAAATGTTAGCTACACATGATAAGTTCACTTGGTGTCTTGAGCTGTCCATCTCAACTGCCCCTGCAATTTAAAGTCACTGGGTGTTACAATTCCCTTACAAATAAGAAGTGCTATGTAAGACAGTGTTGGCAACTACAGCTGAAATCGGCTGCATCAGCATATGAACATGCAGATGTTTTTGCACTCTTTGTTATGCACGTAATATGCTACAAAAGACTGTTGACTGAGAGATTATTCACATCTAGTGAAGGAAGCTACAGTCTCCTCTCCCCCTTTTAAATGAGTTTATTTCCAGTGCAAGTACTCATGAATGTCTGCTGTTTCTCACCGCTGCTGTGTGAGAACGGCCATAATATAGGAAGTTCACAGGAAGGCTCTACCTTAACAGATAGATTTCTACGGTTTTTTAATCCCTGAATTCTCATTATAAACTTAACCATATGCTCATTTAATCAGGGGACCGTGTGCTGTTGTCATTTTATGTTTAAATACAGTCCTGAATATGTAGTACATTCTTAGAATCAGTGTGAGAAAAGGGATATGAAAATTAAATACAAATTCTCATGGGCAAGCAAACACTGAATAACAGGAATATGGAAATTACTGAAAAGCATAAGTTTAATTCCCTTGGAAACTTCACTCATGTATTTTCATGTATAGTATGATAAATTTTTGATAAAGCCCTGTATTGCCTGTGCATTCATTGATCAGTGTAGTACAAAAACAGGTGCGTACATGGTGATTGTCTAACTAATTTTGACTCATTTAAATTGCTAATAGTGTGAACATTGTATGTGTGAAAATTATCCACTTCTCTCTTTCTGTCTCTTTTTTATTATTATTCAATTGAATTTCCAGTTCAAAGGTTGAACAGTCCCTCACGGGAAACTGGGATACCAGTGTTCTGATTTTGTTAATGGTCATGTCAAGCTTTGCTAATTAAATACCTTTCTAAATTTCTTAGTATCATCTAGAGACAAAATTTTTATAGCATTTCTAAGCATTAGGAGCAAGAATAGCTATGAAAAGCCTATTTGAAACTAATTTAATTGTGTATGGTTTTACTCCACGCTGTCAATACAAGTTAAAATAATTTTCTTTCAATCTCTGGATAATAAGGCAATGCTCTAAAGACCTGGTCCCGTGCTCAGTGAAGTAAACTTGGATTGTGAATAAGAGTGATATGAGTAATGGGATGCATCTCATTCAGCTTCACTGTTCAAAAGGACTGCTTTCTGTTTAGTAAGTGCTCATACTCAATACAGTATAACAAAATCATTTGAACCCAACTATTCCATGAAATGGAACAGTAAAAGAGGGATTGTATTTTACAGATAAAGTAACTATATTTTGTCTGCCCAAATAAAAGGGAGGATTTATAATATCTGGTTTGTAGCTTATAAAAAGGAAGAACTAATAGACTGCAGACCCTTTTTAAGAAGTCGCTTTAAGAAAGTTACTTGTTCTAGCTTATCATCAGAAAAACAAACAAAAAAAAACAGCTAAAAAACTTCTACAGTAGTTTATCAGTAAACTACTACAGTAGTTTATGTTATCACACATTGTCCAGAATTATAGGCATTCCATTTTCCCACGAGCATTTGGTAGTAGTTCAACATTTTCTGTGGTTGTTTTCAGTTTGTGCCTTAAAGTTCAGTAAAAGAACACCAGGAAAGGGACATAAACCAAAATAGCTTTCATCTGGTTTTATTGCTTGTCTGACTGACATTAAACAGTATGAAAAGCACATGTCAGGTGAAGATTCAGAATGTGATCGGGGTGGCAATGTGACCACCTGAATCCATTATACACTCAGGCTTCAGAATTATCTCTGTGGGTGCAAAATTCCTTTCTGTTTGTGCATGCATTGCATGTATAATACAATCAGGTTGTGGTGTTCACACTTTCAAACAAATCAGAATCTGAGTACAGTCTGCAAACTAGCTTATAGGGAAAAAATGTATTGTCTAAATTCACAAAAGTTATACAGCTCCACCGTTCATCATTATATACTGCAATTAAAAGGGATGGCAAACATAAATTTTGACATCAGCCATATACTTTCCTCCTTAATTTAAAATACATATAATGCACATCTATAAACGTTTTACTTAATTTTATAGTAAAATGGGAATTCAAGTTATTAAATTTTTTGTATTATCTGACATGTTAGTAGATAAACTCCTTTTTTCATATCCAATAAAAATATTACAAACCTGTAACTAGCTCCTAAATTTTAGTTTGCTCACAACTGAATAAATTAGAAAACAAAAGGTTGTATTAATCAATCTGGCCAGCACCTTAAACCAGTCTTGTTGATCAGCTTACTCAGAATGTAATTTATCCTTCTTTCTGAACACTTTAAGAAAACTGGCAGGGAACACACAGGACACAATATGAAAGAAATTGAACCTCAGAAGGAGAGATAATGTTTTACATTACCTCCTGGTTAGCAGCAGCGAGTTCTTCTTCCAGTGCAGAGACTCTTTCTAAAGAAACCCTCAGTCGCTCCCTTACCTGGAAGAAAAATCAAAATATGTGCTGTAACATTTCTTCTATCAGTCTTTAAAATTTATATAATCCTCCATATGCACTACAGTATGCCCTGCCAGTCTGTAGGTATGTGTGTTACATCCTTTCATTAGACATATTCTGTAGTAAATGTTTAAACCTAACCATAGGAAAACGTAACCCACAAAAATGGGCTTCAAACTTTAAATGCCATACTGCTGTTCTACAGTTTGCATATAATACTATGGAAAACAAAGGAAGTGCTAATTTTCTTAAATTACATTACACATAAAATGTTGTTTACAAACATCTTTTACAAATGAAACAATCAAAAGCAGCAGCAACAACTATGTAACACTTCTGAAAACATTTTTTTTCTGTTTATGTATCTTGGCTGCTCAGCATTATCTCATGTAACTATAGATAACCTAAGCTAGCAATGTAGACACAAGGTTCCCAGTATGATTAAAAGGTAAATCTGACCTAAACTGAACTTCAGTGCTGTGTGTTTGTGACTTTATCTCTTCTGACCATAAGGGGTTCCTATAACAACTTATCTGCTAATCCACACAACTTCATTACACACATCACATTAAGTTACTTGACTATAACCCAGTAAATGGGCCTAAATTCAGCAGGTATTTCTATCACCATTCCCACCACACCATCCTAGATCCAGCTGATGATCTAAGAATGTTTAAGCTGTAAGGAGTGTTTGAAGAGAAAGTGAATGCATTCTACCAGATCAGCAGATTCCGTTGTAAAACAAAGCAAACAAAAAATCAGTCTTTCATGTACAATGAAACATTGCACATTTTCACGTATATATAATTGTTTTCAGATCCCAGCGATTACTACTTGTCCTGTCACTACACTCCCTGTCAAAGAGTCTGTCCACATCTCTCCTGTTAGGCTCCCTTTATGTACTGAAAGACTGCAATGATGAAGTCTTCTCCACGCTGAACAAGCCCCACTCTTTCAGACCATCCTCATAGGAAAGGTGCTCCAGCCCTCTCATCATCTTTGTGGTTCTTCTTCCTCTCTCTCTCTCCTCTTCGTATGCTCTCAACCTTCCCAGAGGTTCCTGATTCCTCTGTAAAATGCATTTTCTATATAAATTCCTGCTTCAATTCCCACCATAATTTTTGTCTCTCACTAGCACTTCACTGATAATTAAGGGTTATAGTCCTGTCTCAAGAAGCCTTATTTCAACCTCTTATACAGTGCAAGCTGTCATAAAATAATTTTTTAATGGAGAAATGAGAATCATCTTTCTCACTTCAGTCTTCTTGGCTGTAAGTATTACAGAGGGACAAGATGATGGAGGAAAATATCACAAGATGGTGACTGTTACTAGCTGAAATTACATGCAATGAGTTTGTCCTTTTACTTTACGTCTTCCTAATATTTCCTAAAACCTTGTTGTATTTAAGTATGTTTTATAAATGAGAATGCATGTGTTTAAAATATGTTTTAAAATGTTTAACACTTGTGTTTGCTTAGAGGAGTTTTAGAATTTGCAAACCAACTAGACCATTTTACTGAGGAGGTGAGAGCTTTACAGGGAGCTGGAATCACAAAAAAATTATCCTCAACCTGTGTTGCTGTAGAACTGAATACTAGCGGCTTTTATAAAGACATTTTACAGTTTGAAAAACAACACTCCTTGGAAATAATAGCTGTTTCAGAGACAGTGTAGGAGACATTTTTTTTACATGACAATTCAGAAAAAAATAGGTAATTATTAATTTCATTATTCTGAATATCAAGCTATTATGTTTGTATAAATCCATGTTTTTTCTTTCTTGGCCTTTAGTCAGTAAAAACACAGAACAATCTCAGTGTGAAACAAAGACAAAGCTGGAAATTGCTTTGACCTGCCTTGCCTTGCCCTCTCTTCCTTTTCCTGCTTTGCAGCTACACAGTTAATGCACTTTTTTTATAATGACCTAAGTAAAATTGCAGTCTGATGGCCCTTATTTATTCTCCAACTATAACATTTTCTAAAGAAACTGAAAGCAACTCTGCCTTGGCACAGAAGTCTTTTTTCTTTCATCTGAGCAGTGAACAACTAATTGACACTCACATATGCCATGGTGACATAGGAAATGTTGCAACTAATTCTTCATGGTCAACCACATGAAGTGTTGTTGAAGTTGTTAAAACTGGGGGAAAGTGTTCATTAAACCAGAGAAAACAATGCTACATTAGTGTTATGATTTAAAGGAGAAACCTACTCTACATCCCATAAATTATAACTTTATTTATTAATTATTTGTTCTCTGTCTATATCAAAATATACTTGAAGAATAATACAAAAGCTGAATAAAGACTTCAGATTTTCTCATTCATATTCCAGGAAAAAACATTCAGCTTACAAAAGACCATACTAATGCATTTGGTATTCATATATTTTGAATATTACTTTACTCTAAGTATTACTTATTATTTAGTAATTCATGAACTTTATAAGTTCATATTGAAGAAACTTTGAATTTAAAGAAAGCCAAATTCTCTGAAATTCATATAAAATTACACTGCAATGAATTTTGGTTTGATTCCTTCTTCAAATTTATGTTAAAGCAAACAAAGCAAAAAAACCATCTTAATTTCTGATAAATACAAGGAAAGCTGTTGTTCTAACTCACTGCCTTGTTAGTGAAAAAGGAGCAGTAACAACTACAAAGTATTTTTATCTGATAAATTTGTTTTGTTTTTCTGATGATTCAGTTTGTTTTCTCCATTCTGGAATTTAAAGACAGTAAGTGAGTAAAGGTAGCACATAGAAGAAGTGTTATTCTACCTTAATTGTATTTATTACTTCAAAAATAATGTACTACCTACACTTCATATGGTCCTTCAGTGTACTCCTATTTTCTTGGGCACTAGATGGTGTTTTCCTAAACAAGGCTTCACAAAGTAAGACTAATCAGATGTCACTTGATCTATCAAACCATGCTATAATATCCATTTTTAAAGAACTGATTCCCATTATGGAGCCACAGATACAGTAGAAAAGGTTTGCTCTCCTTGTTACTGGATACGTCCAACACGGGCCCAGATGACTGGGTATTCTTCTGGCTTTTAAGTGCAGCCCTATTATCTTGAAATTTAACATACCCAGTGTCATGTTAGCACTGCTGTTGGTGCAAAATATCACCCATCTTCGTCTGTCTCTTAGCAACCACTTTCCACATTTTTTATTGCTGTCAAAGTCTTTCTCCTTTCTCTCCATATCTGCAGCCCACAAAGAGCTTTTAAAAACACTTGCACATGCTAGAATTGAATCAATTTTGTTCATAGTGAATAAAAGCTCTCTTACCTACCTGCTAATGAATAAAAAGATAGTGGTAACGTCAACATGAATTGGTTGTTTTCGTATTAGAGAAGACATAGGTATACTTTTCTGACATGAATTATCTTAAGAGAACCAATGTTTTTCAAATCTTATATAGGATAGTAAAACCTGGTGGTTGCTTTTCTCTGTGAAGATCAGTTGGACATTTTGTCTTAACAAATCAACTAAAAATGAGTTTGGAGAAGTTGCATAAGTTCATTGTTTACAAATGTATGTTAGAATATTTTCCCAGTAAAAAGTTTTAAGAGGAAGCCCTTTTCCATAGTCAAAAAGATCTTTACTGTTATTTTACTCTCAGTTTGTATTTTGAACCTAAAAACATACCAGAGACATAAATTTCATCCATGTTTATTTAGTGCTAACAGGGGAAATATTTCTGATAAGGGTAAGATTTTCTTGTTTTGAAAAGTCAGTTTTACTGACTACAAAAGATAGCTAAAGTGATCCACACTGCAGTGCAATTATTGGTCATACATTCCCAAGGACTTCTTTGAATTCATATAAATATTTTAAGTAAGAGACTTATATAAAGGAGGAAATACACAATAAGCATCATAAGGCACAGTAAAGTAAGTTAGAGGGTATATTTTATATATATATATTTTCCATACTGTACCTTTTCATCCAGAGCCTTGTGGTGCTCAAACAGAGATTTCAGAGCTTTGAGGACCTCAACTTCACTGGAAACTCCTGAGGGAGACTGTGCTTGTCGTTTCACCACTGTCATCCTCAGTGATCTTTCGTGTCTTGAGACAAGGCACTCCAAATGCTCCAGTAACAGCTATTGGATTTTATATGAAAGGTTATTAATTTCTATTCACCTAAATGCCTTGAAGCAACAAAATGCATGGTACCAAAGGGCAATTTTCTTGGCAGTTTCTTTATGGGAGATACTACTGGAATTAATGCCAAGATTTCATGATTCAAAATCAGATAGAATAAGTACAAAAATTGAAAATCAAATCATAATTTAATTTTAAACTCTGTGAAAAGTGAAAACAAAAAAATCACTTGGCATAGAGTTGCTATTTAACTGCATTAAGGACATATTTATAACAATATTTGTCATTGTAATTAATGATCATAAGCTATTCAATAACAACTAAACCAATCAAAACCTGTGTAGAACATCACGGAAAAATATGAAAGCAGCTTATATTTTATAAACCTAGCTGTAACATTTTAAATTTGTACTGGAAGATGATATAAATATAAAAATGATAAAATATGAAAAAAGTAGAAATAATGTTTAATTACATATGAAGACTATTTACTCTAAATGTCATCTTTCATGACAGTTGCATGTCACTAACATGCTCTAAAATGTTCATTATGTTTGTTTATGAGGGAAGACAAATGGTCCATAAACAATCTATTTCAGGCTACTGTAAATAATTTGTAGAATAGCCTGTAGATAACCTAGTGTAAAAGCATGATAATTGTTTGTCATTATTACTCTAAGTAGCTTAAATGAAATACTAAAATGACTTGATGTTGTATGGAAAATTCACAATTTATCAAGGCTTTTATAGGGCTACCATTACTCTTATTGTCTAAGCATAGAAGAGAATTGGTAAGTTCTAAGTCTGTAACAGAGTTGCTGAATTCATGAATCATAATGCCTGATACACGTATTTCACAATGCACAATTATAGCTTAGCCTTAAGTGGAAATTTGAAAGTTACAGAGCAAATTGTTTATTATTTCTCTTTTGATGTGGTTCTTAACATAGCTATAATAAGTAAAGAGACATGTTCATCTGCAATCCGTAGTTATTCTCAGCCATATAATGACCTTCACTTTATTAACAAGACATGAAAGAGCATAAACAGAGAACACATTGTAATTGTAATATACAGCTATCAAGCCAGGAACAATTTGGGTTTGATGCACTCTTTGCTTAAAACATGGTACTCATATCTAGATTTGCAGCTGCTTATTGTTTTAAAATAATTACATTATTTGCCAAAAATAGTGAACACGTATATGGCCAATGTTACTACATGAAGAATTGTAATGACTCCATGTAGTTCATGGAAGAAGGAGGGTATTTTTACCACTATTTATTTCAAGTGGTGGCTCATATTTATCAAAAGCAGATGAGTCATCTGATCTCTATAGGGCTGACAACAGACAGGGAAAGGGAAGGGAAGGGAAGGGAAGGGAAGGGAAGGGAAGGGAAGGGAAGGGAAGGGAAGGGAAGGGAAGGGAAGGGAAGGGAAGAGTCCCTACACCAGGTCACACAAGTAGGTGTCCAGGTGGGTCTTGTATATCTCCAGAGAAGGAGACTCCACAGCCTCCCTGGGCAGCCTGTTCCAGTGCTCTGTCACCCTCACCATAAAAGAAGTTCTTGCACACATTGGTGCGGAACTTCCTATGCTCCAGTTTCTGGCCGTTTCCCCTTGTCCTGTATCCACACACTCCCAGCCATGGTGAAAGGGAAGAGTAACCAATCACCCCAGGAATTAGCAAGCTTGTTGGCAAATCCCTCCTCCATCCTCTGCTGAAATTATATTTAAAATGATATTTTAGTCTTTGCTTCACACATGAACAAAATATACACATACATATATATTATAAAAAAAGGAAAGGTAATAGATCTTCCCTATTTCCCTGGGAAGGGAAATGTAGCTACAGTTATACAACTATGAAATGTCAGTTACTACAATGATGGAGAAAGGGACATTTAAGTACATTAAATTGTCACTGAAGAAAATGGTATGTCCAAGCAACGTATAAGTGACTGAAGAAAATCACAGTATCTGGCTTGGGGTGGGGAGGGTGAATAAGGAACACTGAGGACTTCTATTTATTTCAATAATTACTATTTCATATATTTGTGAAGAACAAAACAACATTTCATGTCAAAATATTACTACAAAAACACTGGTAATTAATTAAATTACAAGCAGTTTGTTACAAACAGCTTTAGGTGCTTTTGTATGTTTCAGTCACACACTGGCATTAACAAAGAACACATGCTGCTGAGCATTTTCTGCTCCCTCACGCTGCGTTGATCTGCTATGGTTGTCAAGTACTCACAGGGACAGGCAGCTTGCAGAGAGAAGATGAAGATCAACAGCAGAAAGCAGGACAGAATCACCCACGTATAATATCCAGTCATCGCTATGCTTTTCCTGCTGGAAAGCATAAGCTTGACAATGAATTACAAAATAATGTGACAACTGAATTTCTCTCTTATGCTGGGTGAGTTTTAGGATCCTCAAGATCCCAAGCTGATAATTTTACTGTAACTAAATGGGATGGATGTTTCTAGAGCTCTGACTTCATGAGCACGAAGAATGTTTAAAAATGATTATTTAAAGACTGAAAAATGTTTGACTGCTTATTTTGTGAAGGAATGAAGCAACTTTAAAATGTTAATTAGAACAAACTAAAAATAGAGACAGCTATTAGAATACAGTTTACTGTATTTCTCAGATCATTTCCAAAGCACTGTGAAATAGAAATGTGTAACTAAATGTCTTTGTATGATATCATGTACCTCTATTAAACTAAACCATCATTACTACAGGGACACTGATTTACTGGTGAAAAAGAAAAAAAGAAATTAAAGCATTCCTTAAAAAATGATTCAGTAAACCAAAATTAGTATGACTCATTACAGTTTGTATTATTATAGGATCTGAATTTTAATTAGCATGAAGTATTTTATCTTAACTCCCTTTGTTTTCAGTAAAGCTGAAAAAAAAAAGGTTCACAGCAGGGTATTAAACAGAGAAAGGAAAGGATCAGGAGAGAGCGATGGAGAAAAGTAAGTAATAGAATATGGGGAAATATAATATAGAAGAAAAAAGATTTGCTAAAATGAGATTGACTTGGCTTAAGGGATTTCTTATGTGAACAGGGTGACCCACTAAGAAGACAATGCTCTTTCATGTTCAGCTTCTCACCAACACATGCAAAATGCAATTTCCTTTCAGTCTGTATTTAGTATACATGTTATTTAGTGAATCTCCACCTCTGGTACAAGCAAAGAAGAAAAGTAAACTAAGCAGATAAGGGGTTGCAGATTATCTCTAAATTCAGCCATAAAGCCAGTCATTTTCCTCTGCATTGTTCAACAGCAGTGGAAGCCCATTTGCTCCTGTGGGAAATCAAATAGCTTTACTAGTAAACTACTGGTGATAATCTTTCTTTGAAAAAATGAAGTTATAGCCTAGCTGCAGTTTATGTTCCATGTTTGAATTTCTGTACATTCAAGACAAAAAATAATCTCTTGGTGCAACACAGGGCACAGTTGGCTTTCTGGGCTGCAAGCACACATTGCTGGCACATGTTCAATTTTTCATTAACCAATACTCTCAAATCCTTCTCCTCAGGGCTGCTGTCAAGCCATTCTCCACCCAACCTGTATCTGTACTTGAGATTGTCCCGACCTAGATGCAGGACCTTGCTCTTGGCCTTCTTGAATTTCATGAAGTTGACATGGGCCCACGTCTCAAGCTTGTTCAGGTCCCTCCCTTCACTCTATATAGTAATTTCTTCCAAGGTATTTTTATATATGTTTTCAAAATCACATCCAGTGATTTTACAGAGAGAGCCTGTTTGTCTTCCTGTCAGCAACACCACACTAATCAATACATACACATATGCTCCTGCATTTTTCATGTTGCCAAATGTACTGGCAGATTAAGTTGTCATCTAAGTTTGTGACATGAAAATATTTTTACTATAATATGTGAGAAGTTAATTATAGTAGGCAATAAAAATACATATTTTAAAGCAAAAAGTCTTCCAGGGAGCTTTGTTTAAGAATTCTGCTAGAAGGACTGACTAGGAACTCAAAGTCTAGGGTAAGCTATAAAGTGTGGTCTTTTGGCAGAGACCAAGAGTTTACAGATCCCACAGAATATTATTCTAGCACATTCTACAGTCAGGATCTGCTGCTGCAAATGGCAGATTAGGTCTTGTAGCTTTTTTGAGGGAAAATAAAGAAACACATGGGTGTGGGTCTAGAACAAAGGAAAATGTATTAGAAATGTAAAACGGAAGTAGAAAGCAAGAGTTGGCTTGATACACTCAGAACCTGACAGATTTGCCACTTCAATTTCTTCTTGCTGATCTCCAGTTTGAAGCAGTAGGTGCTTCAAACAGTATCTTTACAGTGATATTGCAGGGAAATAAAAGGTAGAAAGTGCTAGCTGGGAAAAAAAGTGTTTGTACTGAGTCATGGTGATAAGTGTGGCTATGCATGAGAGTGTCCTGGGGGCACAGTAAAGCCAGAGCTGGTTAGATGTGACTTGTAGTGATGTGAATGGGAAGAAGAACTAGCTGAACTCACTTTAGATGTTAGAAAAGACATTTTGATTCCTCATTACAGAAGCATTTCTGTGGTCTTCTAAATATTATTACTTGAATGTGAATCTCTAATAACAGAAAAAAAAAAAAAAGTAGCAGCTTTTTCAGCTTTTTCTGACAAACTATTAATGCTGTTTTGCATTAACAGCATAAATATAAGCTTGTAAAAGTGCTTCCTTATGGATAATGACTTCTTGTTGGAAATCTCTTATCTAGTATGTCATGGAGATGAATGCATTCTGAAGACAACAGCTGTGTACCTGGAATGCTGGTCTTTACCTACAGACACAGTGTAGGGAGCCTGTAGAAGGCAACATGACTTTTACAGTAGACTCCAGGAACTAACTTAGTATATGGCAGCTGACAGAATAGGAGGAATATATACATGACATGATGGATGACAACATGTTAATGAAAATTCTGAAGAACAGTAAGGCATCAGTCATGTCTGATTTTTTTCTCTCACCCTCCTAATTAACACTTATCTTTATCTTCAGCTCTTCTTTACTCTTGCATTTCCTGCATTTCCTATATATTTTTGTATGCTAAATCTTTTCATCTCCAATGCCTACTTTTGTACTCATTATTAAGACAAATTAGTTGAGTGTATTAGTTTAAACTACATGGACTTCTGGCAAGATCATCATACTTTGCAACTCATTAACTGGAATCTCCTGGAAAATCTCTTACCAAATTTTCTTTCACATAATATAAAAAGAACAAGAATGGACAATAATTAATTTTTTTAGTTTGCAAAGAAAGTGCTATGACAAAGCTTAATTTGACTTGTAACTAACTCAATTTGCTTTTCTCACACAGTTGTGTGGTGTGCAACTGTCTGACTACAGGGCTGTCATGGTATTCTTCTTTGAGTTACTTATTCTTTCAGACCCATAGTAGGTATTGGTATACAATCTTGGTGTTCAGTGGGTTCTGTAGTGAAATGGAAAAAACTTTCTGCTAGGTAGTTTTGTATGCATTGTTATGAGAATGTATGATGACTGAGAAGAATACATTTAAATTTAGCACTATTTTTTCTGTAAAGAAAGGCAAATTTAGGTATTTTCTCTGCAGGAATGTGTATATGGAGATTACCCATCAGTACAATTTATCTTAACCATATCTTGTCTTCAAAAGTTTGTGCTAGAAATTAATACAAGTTATTCTTTATTCTATGTAACTTTATAAAGTTGACTTTATTAGTTTTCCTTTAAACATTTAAATAACTGATATACATAACAGTTATTGAAAATCTAAGCAGCTTTAGAAATACTTCAGAAATACATGGCTGAGATAGCTTGCCAACCTGAAGAATGCACTGCAATTCCAATGTTCTTCTTCATTAATTCTATTTTTGTGGGAATAATTTTGTATTGTTTAGATTATGAAAGAGTTACGGGAGGAAGAAATATGTTTTATCTGTTTCCCATCACATTTCCCAATCTCAACACATCTAAGACTTTTACATTAAATATGATTATCTCTTCTTGTTCCTTTAAGCCAGCATGGAGGTAGATGAAACACCACTGTCTCTTTGTAGACAACTGTATCACTTGTCCATCTTTGGATTTCTGGAGTTTGTGGCACTCTAGTGCTATATACGGCAGTAAAAAGGACGGAGAAAGACTGTCACAATTCTTTTGTCAAGTATCTTGATAGATAGCCTTTGGAATGCCAGTCAGGTAACCAGGGAAAGATATTAAGTGAGGCACAAAGCACTGTTACAATAGAGAAAGGATGAAAGCAGGAAGAGCTACCCAGAGCACAGAAGAATGCAACATAAATATGTTAAAACATCTTTGGTGTTCAGCATCTGTTCCAGTAGGCACTATCGTGGATTGTTGGCTGCAGACAGAATAATGGCTTTTGATTGAAGCAGAACATAGCAAACTTAGGGGTGAAATGTTGTCCTCAGCTGTATCACAAATGATATTTACTTCAAGGATCACAGTGGCTGCACCTAGACTAAACAGCATAGTCACTGTGATACAAGTGGCAGCCTTCATCTCATCCTTATTCAGATCAAAATCAAGGCTCCTACGTAGCTGAATGTGCTGTACCCCTGCCCTTAGCCTTGAGAAGAGATAAAGATCTGTGCAGGCTACTTATGTAGGACTTGGGTCTTGGAAAGATTAGTGAGTCTCTTGCTCTGAATGTACATACCTTGCAACGTACCAAATCTAGCATGCAGTCATTTTCTGCAGGTCTGTAGCGTGGTAGATACATCTTATTACTTAGATCCTGACAAGTCTCACATCCTTATTTAAATACATTTTCAGGGAAGGCAAGGAGTTTTGTCTCCTACTTTATACATTCATGATATCCAGAAAAGGTCTGCTGTACACTTACTCTCGTGTTGTTTCTTTCGGCCTTCAGTTCTGAAATCTCCTCCTCCTTTTCAAGCAGCTGTTCCCTACATGCATTTAATTCTTTTGTCAGTGCAGCAAATTCCTATGGAATAAAATTAAGTGTGAAGTTACACAAGATGTAAACAAAAAATTAATCAAATCTACGTGCCTTGTAGGATTTATATAGTATTTAGAAACAAACACAAACTAACATAGCATATGTAAACACCAACACTTGTCATAAGCTTTTAAAATAATGCATTTTTCATTGAAAACCTAATAAATTTAATAAAAACCACCTATACAAAACACTGGCAGAGTTTTAGAAACAAGAACTGGCCTGAGATGATAATAACATCCCCCAGACATAAATTATCAGAACTAAAGCATAAGAAGAACACAACTGGCCTATTTGTAGCAAGAAAGACACTATAATTTCATGCATAATGAAGTTCAGCTAACTGCATTTGCTTAGCAAGTTCTTTTGCCTTTCCATAATGCAGCTATTGTAATACAGCATGGGATAGAAAGACTATGGAATTCATTGATCAAATTCTATCTGGTAGCAGATTAACACTAGCAATATGTGCACTAGTTAAAACAAAAATAAAACAAACAAACAAAAAAACACCCAAGCAGTTACTAAGTAGAGCTCTAATTTTTACTTAATACTTAAATTTAACTACTAAAATGTATTTCGGCATCACAGTGAAAGACTCTAACATTCATATTTCTTAGCTTAGCATGAGTTTCCTAAGAAATAACAACATAAAATGAAGCAAAATTTCAAGTTGCTCCTGATTTTGTGTTAAGAATGCAACTAAACAACGATTACAAAACAAATCTTTCAGCTACCAGAATCAGTACTAAAATATCTTGATATCACCATTGCTTTTATGCTTCAAAAATACACATAAAATTTTATGTATACTAATGGCAGTCATAGATTTAACATTAAGTTCAATAACTAGAAGGTTTCAATCCAATTCAAAGTGGCAACTTTTATCCATAGAACTGAAAAGATTCTGTATCTCATGAAAACAGTGAGGCAAATAATGAAAAAGCATTTGAAATATATAATCATGTGCCAGAAAGAGAAGTTGTTCAGATGAACAGCACTGCTGGTAAACAAAAGCATATACATATTTAAAACTTTTAAGTTAATTGAGTTTGATTAAAATTATTAATAGCTGTTAAGACCACTCATGAGCAGCCAGGATTAAATTGCCATCGTTCCTAAGATCATTTCCCCCAAGAAGAAAGGAGTTTAAGAAAACAAAAACATGTCTAGGTGGTTTATCAGCTGGTAGGATGAATCTGAATCTAAATCTACTTCTTTAAGACAAAAGCCAGCAATGATCTCAAAAGAACTTGGTCTGCTGTCTCCTTTCAAGTTTTGGGAAGCAGCTTTTATCCAAACTGAAGTGCTTTTCAGCAGAAGTTTGGTTGATATTCTTGGCTTCCTTCTGTTTTAATCAAATTTACAAATAGTTAATTGTATATTATTGATAAAAATGATATTGTATTTTCAATAATATAGATATATAATAATGTTATAGTTCCTGTATTTGTTTTGGAAATGAGATTTAAAACTCTGCTCACTTTTCAAAAGTATTATTAAAACTTTTGCCTTACTTTAGTAAGAAGTAGAAGTGCTGTTCTGTATAGAGTTTTGCTTGAACTTCTCTATTTGGGGTTGTAATTAATGTCACAAATCAACTGAACACGCCATATTTAATATAAGCCAGTGATCTCAGGTGAGGCTGAATTAGAATTCTAAAGCAGGAAAACACATATGCACATATTCCTTTTATATTCTTATAAGCTTTATAGTGCCACAGTGTGGAACTCTTGTTGCTAATATACCTTGTTAATATTACTCGTATAAGCAGTATGATACCATTTTAATTTAACACTTTTAATTTCTTTGTATTGTTTTAGTTGGAATTTAAAGAGACTTCTGGCGTATGCTGTAGCATCTGGATGGGTGGCAGGTGTAGGAAAGGACAGCAAGGATCGTCTGGTGACTTACAGTAACAGTTACTGTAAGGCAAAGCAGTCTGCAAACACGCTTTTCTTGTTTTGCTTGGAAACAGAGAAATGCATGAGTTTATAAAATTGTACATTCTTTGCTGTGCCAAGACAAGCCTACTATCAGCAGTATGATCCCTAGTGCTTTGGCCAATATAATCTCAAATAATTCAGTATTTGAGTTTTACTATTTTGATGAACAGTGTGGATTTTATTCTTTAAGAAATTTAAGCTTTCCTTTGCTTAAAAATAAATCATTAAGCAAAATTATGCTCAGTGAGTTTGATACTTAACCATTTCCTCTCAGCCTCCAAGTATCTTAAGCCTATACCCATAGTATTACTTTCTAGTTTGGCTGGGCTGCATGTATCCAGCACCTTAGACTTTTTCCTTCAGATGCTGACACAGCTCCTTCACACCTTTTAATTATTCAGTTGCTGCTGTTCCTGTGTTATAGTATCAGAATTTATAAAAACACTCATTTCTTCATATCCGTGAAGCTAAAGTGGTCACATCGCTCTTCTTATCTGAAGGACCAGTGGCTGTTCCTGAATCAAGAGCTTTGGTTTCTCTGAACTGAACAATGATAGTATTTTTCTTGGTTGTTTTGTATGCGTTTTACAGGGAAAGTCTCAAAGTGAAAATTGAGTTTGCCCTAGAGCTTTACAAATTACTTCTGTCATGTTTGCTTTGACAAATTAACAACTGCGATAAAAGCTCACAATAACTTGCTTTTCAATTCATGTTACCATAACTACAAGTGAAACCCATTTTAAGTATGCCATTCCTTTCAGCCCAAGGTATCGCTGAGATATGACACTGTAATGCTCCAGAGAACATGGTTCTCCCACAGGTTAGAAACAAAGCAAAACATTTTTGTTTTATCCAGTTATGTAATAAACAACACGTGATGATAATGACCTCCGCTCTTGCAATTCTCCCTGATATACACAGGGATCAAGGGAATACTGTCATCTGGAATTACTGTTCACAACCGAAATCTTGCATGGTCAGTCATACTTTGTGGGCCCCGAAGGTGGGATCTGTTGCATAACTAATGTGACTTGACATGTACAACCGCACTCTTAAAGCTTATGTAGAAGTTGTTGGGATATAAAGCTAATTAAGAAATAAAGAGAATCAAAATGATGAAAAAATATGCAGTTGATTTCACTGCTCTTATATTACAAAATGGTAACAAGACTAACTTTTTTCATGGGAAACAACTACAGAACATATTTTTTTGTCATCTGAATAAACAAAATCTTGGGGCCTATTTGTCTGCTGTTTCCCTTGTTGTCTTAATACTTGGGCTATAACACTCAGTCTGACTGAAAAATAGCTGACTCAAAATGACAGCCCTTCACTTATCCCATGCAAATCTTTGAAGAGAGGGCAGAAGCCTCAAAAACAAATTAAATGGAAATTTGTGACCACTGAAAGGACAATTTGGCATTACAGATCTGAAAGTCAAGGACTTCCCGTGGCATAGCAGCTGAGAGCACAAGCTTGAGGGTACCCTGGAGAGGGGGGGACCACAGGGACAGGCGAGCTGACAGTGCTGCCAGATGTGCTAGCAGCAGGGCTGTGCAGGGAGGCGTGCCACAGCATCCTTACCATTACATATCTGCCTCTAGGGGTGGTTGAACAAATGCTGCTTTCTCTGCTTATTGTTCCCAGGAAGGGTTTGCAAGGATCATTTTTTTTCATGGACTAATACACACAAAACCTATATAACAATCCTCATAGGTGAGGGCATGCCAGAGAAATGAGACTTCAGAGTGGCAAAACTTGATTGTTCAGCTTGTGAGTACAGTCCAGTATGGAGAGAGTTGAACTCAAATGAAAATGCAAACAGCCTCTCATCATACATGCTTGTAATGAAAGAGTGAATCAATTTTGTAAGCCCTCCCCTCACCCCAACCTCCCTAAAAAAAAAAAAAAAAAAAAAAAGAAAGAAAGAAAATGAAAAAGAAAATTCAGTTTCAGAGAGGATGGGGTGTATTCAGCTTATAATCTGTCCCTCTGGAACTGCCTTTGAAATGCAGTTCATTTCAGGATGAAAGAATGAACTAATCTCTGCACAGAGAAAGAATGGTTAGGCTTTGTAATTTCTGTTTTGCATTCAATGCTGTCTATGTAGACAGAGTTACCTTCCTAAAAATTTAGAGGTAAGTCATTTAACAAGAGAAATTATGATTTGCGACAATTGTCTGGGAGTTTTAACCTTTCATTTATTATGTCTTAATTCAATTCAGTTTTCTTAAATTTCACCTTCTTTCTTTTCTAATTATTCCTTCATTGGAAATCTTGCTTGAAACTCTGCATGCTTTTTAAAATACCAATGATTTATTTTAGTAATTTCACCCCTACTAGAACAGAAATTTCAATCTTGTTGACAGCAATTAGTAATACAAAAGACTAAGAAGTTCTGGATGAAAGTCGCTGTTTATCTTACTGTAGAAGAGCCATAATTACAGCCCTTGATTCTAGATTAGGTTGAATGTTACATTTCAATATTTGGGTTTAGTGTCAGTCTTCTGAAATGTGGAAATGGCCACATCATATGTAATGAGTGAATCTCTAATACAAACTTTGAATTACTTTGACTCACACCACTGGTTCAGATAGGGAAGGTAATGTGTTATCTGGTCTTAGCCACTAACTTGCTTCAAACTATCCAGGAATTACCAATATGTGTTTATTTATTTAGTGGCCTGCAAGATATCAAGCATGTGAAAAGTATGATTAAATGTGACAATTATTAATTCACAGAGAAAAATGAAGAAGAGGAGATTCCTGTTTCATAAGAGAGAAAATTAACTCAGTAACACAGGGAATATGTGAACTCACACTCCATTTATTCTTTTTAGAACTGTGGGCACTGTCTGTGATTCTGAAGTATGCAGGCACTTTCCTACACAGAAGCACACAGTCAGTGCTTCTTGGAAGAAATTAAAAAAAAAAACAAAACTTTTCAGGGGTTTTGAGCCAATGTTAACAACTTGAACAATAAATAATATCAACACTTCTACTGAACAGAAAATGGAATGAGAACTGTTACATGGTTCT